GCCAGCGCCCAGCGCCAGCGACCAGCGCCGACGCCGACGCCAGCGCCAGCGCCAGAGCCGACGACAGCGCCAGCGCCGACGGCGTACGTCAGCGCCAGCGCCAACGGCAGAGGCCAGCGCCAGCGCCGACGCCAGCGCCCAGTCCCAACGGCGGTCGCCAGCGCCAGCGCGGACGCCAGCGCCCGACGCCAGCGACCGACGCCAGCGCGGACGCCAGCGCCATCGACAGCCCACGCCCCCCCCCTCCCTTCCGTGGATTCCGCCGTGGGGGGGGGGGGAGGGTGAGGGGAAACGGGGGGAGTGTGTGAGGATGGCGAGAGAGATTCTGCAGAGCCAGCAGCCGCCCCTCCTCTCTCTCTCACTGCCGCTCGTGCTGCTGTTGGGGGGAGGGTAAGAGAGGGTGGCGGGAAAACAGAGAAGCATCTACAGCTGCCACCCGCTGCTACCGTGGCACCTCCTGCTGCCGCCCCTGCCTCACCTGTCCTTGTTTCTCTTGTCTGCTGTTGGGGCCTGCAGGTGCTGTCGTCGAGCCGCTGCTGTCCTGCTGCACGTTGCAGCCACAGAGCCCGCTCCTCAGGCGACCTGCCGCCCCTACACCTGTTACTGCTTCTTCTTAGGCTGAGGGTTGGCTACAGCTGTTTCTGCCACTTTTGCACCGGTTACCACTGCTTTTGCCTGCTACTGTTTCTTTTGCTGCACATGTATGGTGTACCCCATTATGGGGGCGTTGACTGCACTTTCTTCCCTACAGGCACTTATGGGGGCGTGTCAGAATAATATATAACTATATATATTGTTTTGTAACTGCCTGTAGTGTAGAATACTTTAGTCATAGAAGTTTCTGTTTGGTGGTGCACCTTTCTTTCTTTCTTGCCTATTTGTACTACTCTCCCTATACTCAAACTCCTCTTTTTGGCTTGCAAAACCCTCTCGACTCTCCACCTCCTAGCTGCCATGGTTCTAAACTTAACTACCTATTTTGATACACCCCTGGACGGCAGCGCGTGGCGATTTTTACGTGCTTCGTAACACTGTCGCGAATAGTGTAATGCAGAGAAAATTTCAGCGCAGCCCCCCTCCCCCCCCCCCCTCCCCCCCCAACCCACATCCACACTCGGAACACACGGTGCAGTTTCATGAGACTGCATCTTCACAGTCGATTGATAGTCCCTGAATTTCAGGGTGTCCGTCGTATCGAGCCAGAATCGGTATAGGGCATTTCGTAAGAGAGGGCAGGGGTTTGCAATTATCGCGAATACGGTGTATCTTCCTCACCACGAGAATCTTTCCAGGGATTACAGAAAGTTCTGGTCTACAATACAACTGCACCGCCAGGTACACAAGATGCCCGTTAGATACCCACAACTTTTCTCGTCATTTGGGTGTTTAGTGAGCAACAACAATTTCGTCTGCTCGCCAACGTTCGCCGTGGGCAAAATCGGAGCTGTAGTGGGCAGGTGAAGAAATGTAACCAGCTTCTTCAAAATATCTCACGAAACGACGGATGCCAGCGTGATAAGCTGTATGTTCAACGGCTGCGATCAAAATAGGGGTTGTATCGTATGTGCAACTGGCTGGTACCAATTGTAATTGGGCAGGCTGTCTGGATAGAGCAGATCAAATTTGCGTGCAACCGTTGAGCATCCTGTGTAATGAGAACGACCCTTGCTCGGGGCAATGGTCATATGGCTGGCAGCGCCTTGAAGTGTTTCCTGGCCTGATTCCCTCCCAGAACAACCTAACCGACCCCTCCATCGCGAGGCAGAGTTCATCACCGCCCCAGCCAATGCCAGCTCCCCTTTCTCAAGGACCTCACTGTCGCCGTCCGATCGATCCTCAATTTCGTCTCCTGAGGTGTCAGGTTCGCCGTTCGCTTGAGGTCGTCGATTCCCCGACAGCATGGATAAAATCCAGACGATCGCTGCCGATGATCCAACCTAGCATCCAGTTCTGACTGCGAGATGTCGTACACCTATTGGTGATGTTCTCCATGCTGCAATCCCAGAGGTGCCAGCAGGTGCAGTCCATCTTTAGTTCCGTCAGGATGGCCATCTTAGGGGTTTTGTATGTACCAATATTGAGCCCCAACCTGACACAGCGGGCGGTTTTGGTGCTGATGGGGCGCCCCCTTTGTTTTTTGGGTTAACTCAAATGAACCTGAGCTGGCAGCAAGCTCACCGGAGCTACAAAGGTGTGTCAAAATGCGGTGTGACACAATCCGCCGCACTGGAGTCCGCAACACGAGAATTGTTGTATAGTGTATACATACAGTGTATTGTTGTTTTCGTAAGATTTTTTAGCTGGATCCCCACGTGACTAGCTGGATATAGTGTCGCTTCCAGCAGGTTTCTCAAATCCAGACCAGAGTCTGCTCAAATCCTGCAACACGAGGCTTGTCTGTCAACACAGCGTGCTGTGAATGTCTACACCCTGTTTCTCAACGTTCTGACAATCAGGAGCCCGGGCTACAGTGCGAACGTGCGCTTGGATTTTGCGGGCTGGTGCTTGCAGCCGAACCCCAGGTAGGTGGCGGGCAAATGCAGTCCATTTGAACGATACAAAACGTTTTATGACAGAGCATTGCTATCACGTACGGTTGAGTGCGGCAAACTGTGCTTATATGCAATGTTCTGGGACCGTTTTGGACGTGTTGATGTCAGAATAGGTGGCATGTCAATACATCGAATGTCAATGAGGCGCGAAACAGGGTGTATTTCCAACGAGAAGTGGACAAAGAAGAAGCTACTAGGAGCTTCTGACATTAATGAACGATCATTTCTGTAGTTCTACACAAAAAGCAACCGCACACTGTTTCGTCGTGTTGTGCAGATGCTGGACCATACGTTCGTTGTTATATCCTTTTGTTTTGCTTTGTATGCTGATATTAGAGCGAGTGGGTGGCCTTCTCGCACGGTCGCACCTCATCGTAGTACTTCGTTTCAGATTGATCTGCGATGAATGTGTGAGCTCGAAGGTTTGCCTTAGTTGTGAAAGTAAACGGTGTTCCTTTTTCAGACAAGGCCTATCTGATGGCACGAAAGATAATTATTCTGCATTTGGTCTCATAAATTAGCTCAAGCTTTCAGATTTGAAGCCTTTCCCCCCCCCTCTTTTCCTAGTGTTTTTTTTCTTCTTCTTTTTGGTTGCATTTTTTTTCTCCCTTAGCTTTCTAATCCAGATTAAGGATGTCTTGAATGACAGAGGGATTAGAATGTGCGACGGATGCGAGGACTCTCCACTTTGTGGAACTATTATGCAGATATTAACAACTAGCTCAGTCGTACCTAGCAAACTGTTTCTGGTTAAAGCTCGTCATGTCACAAGATGGTTCAAGGGTCGTATACCCCGAGTTGGGCTCGTCTGGAAAGGAGAAAGAGGGGGGAGGGGGAGAGGAGGAGCAGGAGGAAGACAATGGGCAATCAGGGCCGTTGATAAGGCAATATCTACCCCTTCTGGACCTAAATCTTGAAATCGGTGGTCAGGATGAAGGAAGAAATGGACCTGAGGATCAGGATCAAGAAGCAGCGGCAGGAGCAGCAGCAGCAGCAACAGCAGCAGCAGGATCATGGGGAGCAAAACATACTACCTCTTCAGGCCTCGAAAATGACGTAATGGTGCTCTCTGGTGGCCCGTCCAAGGAGCCTTTGCGCCGTGGAGAGTGGAAGTCGCATGAGGAAGCTTCCATGGTTGCATATGCTGCAGCTAGGAGCCATGCTGGTGCTGAATTCATGGGGAAATATGCTTCTGGGCTTGCTTCTGCTGCTGCTGCTCCACGTGCTGCTGCTTCCCCTAATGCCACTGCTTCGGTCACTGCTGCTGGTGCTTCGGTTTTTTCCAGACAGCTCTATGGAGCTATATCGTTACCCAAGCCACCCTCATCAGTCAGCGCAAGTCATGGAGGCTTTGAAAGCACCAATGCAGGCCCTGCTTTCCATAACATCCCAGCACATAGTACCTCGCTGCCAAGCACGGGCATTGGCGGGAATTCTTTGTTTAATCCCGGAGCGGCAACAACAGAACCCCAAGCGGCGAGCAGCATGAGGTCAAAATTCGCCGTCCCAGCAGGCGCAGCTGCGGCTGCTGGATCCATTGCTACCAGTGACAGTGGTGGCAGGGGTGTTTCGGTTTCTGCTTCTGCTGCTTCAGCGTCCGCTGCGGCTTCTGCAGGAGCTGGTGGTGGTGGTGCTGCTGCTGGTGCTGCTGCAGGTGCCGGTGCTGCGAAGAACACAACAGTGGTGATGCAAGAGGCAGGGAGGTCCCCAATACATGATCCCTTGCAGTCTGGTTACCGCCATCCCTTTGCACGCTCTCAGCATGCAGAGCAGGCTGGGGAATTTGAAATGACTCGGCCTAAGGGTCCTATATCTACTCTTGTACTTGGGCTTGAGTCGACTCAGGTTGGGGGTCTTGGGTCGGCTAAAGTTCGGGGTCTTGGGTCGGCTAAAGTTCGGGGTCTTGGGTCGGCTAAAGTTCGGGGTCTTGAGCCGTCTAAGGCTCGGTATTTGGAGGTGAATCCAAAATCAAGGGAAGCGGCTACGCACAGTGGTAAGAGTCTCAGTGGTGGTGATGACGTGGCGATGATGTCACCACCGAAGCGCACGCGACACATGGCAGCGCCTGATTTTTCGGGCTCGGGACGACTCTCAGGTGGCTCGTCTTGTGCTGCTGTCCGTTTTCCTGCTGCCCCTGCGAGAAAGAAGACCAGCGCAACATTTGTCAGCGGACCTGTAGCTAGAAGTTCTGTGAAACGTGATGCCAGAAGTGCTGCCACCACTGCTGCAACCCCTGCTGCCACCATCACCACCACCACCTCCCTCCCCGTATCGCCTTCCCCGTCCGCCCCCCTCGTCCTCTCCCCCTCCTCCTCCGCACCCCCCTCCTCCGCATCCGCACCTCTCTCATCTCTCCCTCCTGCTCTCCCACCTCCCCTTCCTTCCTCCTCTTCCGCCCCCTCCTCCTCCACTCCCTCCTCCTCCCAGTCCCCATCCCTGACCCCTGGAATGAGCCGGCTTTTAGCTAAGTGGTTGCGGTCTGACGGCCAGGGCCCTCACTACTGTACGCTATGCAAGCAGAGCTTCCCCACCGCCGCTACTCTCGACCAACACCGGCGCGACAAGTGGCGATGCTCTCAGGCCACTGAATCTGCTGTGCTGGCAGCGAATGCTGCACATACTGCCCATGCCGCTGACGCTGCTGCACACTCTGCCGTTGCTGCACGGTCTGCCATTGCTGCGCGTTCAGCAATACTCTCTGTCTCTGCTCCTACCGCTCGTGCCTTTGCCGCTCCAGACTGTTCCGAAACTGCTAGAACGACCCACGCTGCTGCCGGGTCAGTCACTGCAGCAACTACCAGCACTATTGAAGCTGCTGCTCTGGCACATCAAGCCTCTCGTGCTGGTGCTGAAGCTGCTGTGCTTGGCTCATCTGCTGCTGGTGGTGAGGGGCGGTGTAGAAAGAAGCTGAGAGGAGAGGGGACCTTGGGGCCTGCTCAGGTGCCTTCAGCTGCAGTAGTGCTTGGCTCGGCTGCTGCTGGTGCTGCTGCTGCTGGTGCTGCTGCTGCTGCTGGTGCTGCTGCTGCTGGTGCTGGTGTTGCTGGTGCTGGTGTTGCTGGTGCTGGTGGTGCTGGTGAGAGAAGGCGTAGTGAGACGCTGCGAGGAGAGGGGTCCTTTGCGCCTGGTCAGGTGAATTCGACAGCAGCAGTTGCGGCTGCTGCAGCACTGGCGGCGGTGGCTGCACTGGCAGCAGGGAGAGGAGGAAGAGGAGGAGGAGGGGTGGGTGGAGGCGGAAGGGAGGAGGGAGGGGGAGGGGGAGGGAGAGGGAGAGGAGGAGGGGGAAGGGGAGGGGGAGGGGGAGGGGAAGCATCAGCACTCTCAATAGCAGCATTTGCAGCTGCTACAGCTGCTGCGGCGGCGGCTGCTAGAAGGGTAGGCGAGCAGGCAGGGGGGGGCATGGGAGAAGTGAGAGGGGAGGGGTTCGGAAAGGTGTGGAGAGGGTTAGAAGGGGCGAGGTTTGGGAGAGGGTGGGAAGGATTGGGAGAGGAGAGGCAGGCGGTAGGTAGGAGTGACTCCAGAGGCAGTGATTCCTTCTGGCACCAACTCTCAGCAAGAGAACACTCAGGAGCAGGAGCAAATGTGAATATAAAGCGAGAATGCGACTCTGCCCGCCTACCTGCCCCCAGCACTGGGATTGCAGCTGGCAGGGAAGAAGACCAAACGAGCTCTGCAAGTGCTGCTTCTCCTCCAAGTCTCACCACTCAACCACCTGTATCATCGCTCAACGCTCTTAACACACTCACGTTATCACTGCTGGATGCCGAATCGCTCATCCCCAGGCTTCCTTCTGTCACACCCTCCACCATCCTTGCCGCCCATCTCCTCTCTTTGGCGTCACACCAGACAACTGCTGCCGTCCGGCGCCTCCAACAGCCAGCAGCAGGATCCGAGACATCACAAATCACAGCTGCTGCTATTCAGCAATACAAACAGCTATTAGCAGCTGCTGCTACTGAGCGCCAAATCCCTTCCATATCTTCTCCTTCCACACATTCCCCCCACACAGCCCTTCGCTTTGACCTCCTGCGATCTCTACTAGATCTAAACGCATCTCGTCCGTCCCTTTCTTCCGAACCTTCACACACTGCAGGTTCGGAACGGCACGTTCCGACCCAGATGCCTTCTGAACCTGATCATAACTTGGCACAAAGAAGCATTCCGGACTTACAGCTGCGGGGGCAGGAGATTTCCCAGGCTGTTCTGCTGGCGCTTCTGGCGCAGGTGAAGTCTCAGGAGATTTCCCAGGGCCGTGAGGCCTCTCATGAGAAGCACAACCAGCAGCAGCAGCAGCAGCAGCAGCAGCAGCAGCAGCAGCAGCAGCAGCAACAACAAGAACAACAAATTCAGCAGCATGTGAAGCAGCATCACATGGGTCCTTCTATTGGTCATGCTATGGGATGTCCTATGGGACACCCTTTGGGTGATCCCACACAGTTGCCCAATGAGTCACAGCGAGCTGCCCTGAGGAGAAGTGCGAGTGTGGGGGGAGAGGACCAGAATTATGACCGTGCTGGTATGATTGGTGATTCAGATGATGCATCTGCGGGAGAGCAGCATAAGCTGGGCCCTTCTATTGGTTATCTTATGGGTTATCGTCTGGTTGATCCCTCACATATGCACGAGGAGTCACAGGAAGCTGCCCTGAGGAGAGGTGCACGTGTGGGGGGAGGGGACTGTAGGGATGGCCGTGCCGATGTGTCTGCTGCGGCTGCTACGAGTGATGCTGGTATGGATGATATGGGTGGTGTGGGTGGCATGGATGGTCGGGATGGTGGGGATTGGGTGGATGGTGGGGATGGTGTGGCTGGTACACATGCTATGGAGGCTCGTGTTGGCATGGCTGGTCGTTCTGCTATGGCTGCTGTGGTAGGTGCAGGTGGCTCTGGGCGAGTGAGCACGGGAGCTAATGTGGGAAGCGGTAGTGTGGGGAGCGGTGGAGTGGGAAGCGGTGGTGTTGGGAGTGGTGGAGTGGGGAGCGGAGGTGTGGGGAGTGGAGGCGTGGGCAGCGGTGGTGTGCAAAGGGATCGAGTGGCGATCAACTTAAAGTGGGGCAGGAGTGTCACTAATGGGAGTGACAGCATTGAATGGCGGGATGCTGTTCTTGAGGGTAGAGCCCTTGAGGGTGGAGCTTCGGCGGGTGCAGCTTCGGGGAGTGCAGCTTCGGGAATTGGAGCTTCGGGGAGTGGATTCCTGGGAGGTGGAGCTGTAGATGGGGGGCCTTTGCAGTCCGGCGCTGCTGCTGGCGCAGGCAGCAGCCCTCACGGATGGCACACGGCCCCGTCCGGGCCGTCCCCCAGGAAACGCCCCAGGGATATTGCAGGCATGTCGGACGACCGGCTAGGTGCGGTTCCCTTGGGGGGGAGTGCCACAGGGTTTGTTCCCACTGCTCGTGCTGCCACAGTGAAGCAGGAGGGGACGGTGGCAGGGGCAGGGCTATGGGAGAGTGGATCAAGCCAGCAGCACCCGGCGCCTGCACCGCTGTCCCCCTTAATTCCATCTGCACACCCTGCTGGTGGTGGTGCAGCGGAAGGGAAACAGGAGCAGGAGGAGGCAGCAGCAGGGCTAAGAGAGAGTGGACTGATCCAGCAGCACCAGGCACAAGCGCCACTGCCCTCCTTGCTTCGTCCACAGGCACAGGCACAGGCACAGGCACAGGCACAGGTTCAATTGACAGGCCCTAGCAGTGCTGGCACTCGTGCGGGTGCAGAAATGCAGCAGGAGCAGGGGGGTTCAGGGGAAAGCCCACGGGGCATTGGAAATTTCCAGCAGCAGCAGCAGAAGCCGATGTCGCCCCCAACCATTGAGAGCAGGAGAGGTCAGTGGAACCCAGTGGCGCTCTTGTCCCCTGAGAGTGCTAAGAGTCACCACTGGCAGCAACAACTTTCTTTTTCCCCTAAGAGTGGGAATTATTACCAGCAGCACCAGCCGTCACGTTCTCCTGAAAGTGAGTGTGAAAAGGGCTTCCGGTACCAGCCGTCGTTCTCGCCTGACTTGAGCTCTTTCCAGCGCATCTCCCTCGTCAGCCCGCCTCGCTCCTCCGCCATTCCCCCTCCCCCCTCCAGTTCTCCCCCTTCCAACACTCCTCACCCGAACGTGCTACCCCCTTCCACCATGCCTCCCACTTCCGCCATGTCTCCCCCTTCCACCATGCCTCCTGGCTCCCTTGTGCCTCCTCCCTCTGACGTCCCTCCTCTGTCTGACATCCCACCTGCCCCCAACATCCTTTCAGCCAATAGCACAAGCTCTCCTTTGCTAGAGCCTCCGCATTTCCAGCCCCCACCAACTCTTCCTCCTTCTCTTCCTCATCCTCCTCCTCTTCGTCACAGTTCCCCTTCACATATTTTCACACCAGTCCATTGGCCCCCTTTCACCCCTCATCGCCCTTCTAATTTCAATGTAAAGCAAGAACCAGTACGGGATGTGCTTATAATGGGGACAGATGCAGTACCAGTGAGTCTGAAAGAAGGAAACCATTTGGGGGTTCGTTCTTTAGGGGGCGTTATGTCAGAGGCTTCTGTTGCTGGCGCCAGAAGCAAAAACGCGGGCACAGAAGCAGCGCCAGCAGGCGCAGCAAGTGCTGCAGGAGCAGCAGGAGAAGAATGGAAGAACACAGGAGCCGCTGCAGGAGGTCCAGGGGCACTTGCAAGAGCAGCAGCAGATTCAGCAGCAGTAGCTGTGGGACGAAACGCAGAAGCAGGGGTGGGTGACACAGCCAAGGAAGGGCGTTCTCCACTCCAAGACTACAGGTTGTCGGACTTTAGCGAGTCTCACTCTACATCGGTGCTGCTTTGGGGCGTGGATCTCAGCCGTGATACCTAAAATACCAGCCGTAAGACCAACCAGTGAAGAAAGAATCTAATGCCTAGGATGGAACAAGGCAACGGTCATTTATAAAAACGTGTGGATTCTTGTGTAGAAGGGATTCTTGTCAAATAGCAACAATCTGTGACCAGCTTACAAATATGATTTTTTTCGAAAGTGTGTAACACTTGCTAAAAATGCGTATTGTGAAAGCGCAGCTGACTGTAGCGCAGCAAGGCAACTGCGAATTACCATTCGCCGAATATATAAGAGGGTTGGAGGCCATTTGGCCTCCACCCACGTCTCCATTTTGGAACTTTGCAGTTCCTCTCCATTCTCGTCCAACCACTTAGTTTTTCCGTTGTCACTTGGATTCTTTCACTAACTCGTAGACAAGACAGACTTATCAACCGTGAAAGGCAACGGACGCACACATGCGACTATACCTGGCGTGCGTTCAACTGAAAGCGAAGTGCGCCGGAGGAAATTGCAACTGGCACGCCAAGGACGAAATCGCCAGTGGCGCGCGCCAACGACGAAATCGCCACTGGCGCCAGTGGCGCGCGCCAGGGACGAAATCGCCACTGGCACCAGTGGCGCGCGTCAGGGACGGAATCGCCACTGGCGCTAGTGGCGCGCGCCAGGGACAAAATCGCCACACACTCGCCTGCAGCTCTTGCGCCAGTGGCGAAATCGCCACACGCTCGCCCGCAGCACTTGCGCCAGTGGCGAAATCGACACACGCACACCTGTGCCACGAAATCGCCACTAGAGCGGCAGTGACAGGACTTCCTTGACTGGGAGCCAATCACCAATTATGAGTCGCTTGTTTAAGTGCTGAAAGCCTTTTCATTTATTTTTTCTGTTATGTCATCTCCTCCTATTGTCTATTAATCCCCCCGCTGCTTCAATCCCTTGGTGGCAGAAAACTGGGCTCAACCCCAAGAAAACCGGGCTCAACACCACAAAAGTGGGACTCCACCAGTCGCGGGGAAGAAATCGCACCAGCGACAAGATCAACCGCACGCGCACCCAGGGACACCCCCCAATGAAAATATGGGACCGTGGGTCCTCGTGTGGCCTAAGAGCCGTTCCCCAGAGGGGGGGGGGAGGGGACCGAGGGCCCCCGCGTGGCCTGAGAGCCGTCCCCCAGGGGGGGAGGGGACCGAGGGTCCTTGCGTGGCCTGAGAGCCGTCCCCCAGGGGGGGAGGGGACCGAGGGTCCCCGCGTTGCCTGAGAGCCGTCCCCCAAAGGGGGAGGGGACCGAAGGTCCCCGCGTGGCCCGAGAGCCGTCCCCCAGGGGGGGAGGGGACCGAAGGTCCCCGCGTGGCCCGAGAGCAGTCCCTTAGGGGGGGAAGGGGACCGAAGGTCCCCGTGTGGCCTGAGAGCAGTCCCTTAGGGGGGGAAGGGGACTGCAGGTCCCCGTGTGGGCTGAGACCCATTCCCCAGGGAGGAAAGGGGACCGAGGGTCTGGGGGGTGGCCTGAGAGCCGCCCCCTAGGGGGGAGAGGGGACCAAGGGTCCCCGTGTGGCTCGAGAGCTGTTTTTACGTACGAGGGAATAGTGGCCCGAAGTTCTGCGCTAGCCAGAAGTCCATTGCCTTCAGGAAAGACATGTAGACTCTAATGTTGGATGCGCAGAACCTGATTGTACGGTATACGTTGATGTGGATCATCCTTGGTTATTGCAATGTGCATAAGTTAAAAACGAGGAGTTTTTTAGCCCCACCGTGAGCATTTTGACCCAAATTTGTTGATTCTAAGCCCCACCTAAAACTAGGGGAGAATTTGATTGGAGCGATCTGATTACAAATGTTTGGTAAAGGGTAACTAAGCAAGGTTTTTGAATCTCACTGGTTACACACATCTAACCTCAACCTCAATCATTGTTTTCTTTGCATGAGGGCAATGCGGAAGGGATAAGGCTTTCGCCATCGTGCACTGCACATCCACCTTGTTCTATCATACCGGTACATGCTTGGCAAGCGAGGTAGATGATTCTCAATGATTAAGAAATGTTGGGTACCCATCAGCAGTCCGCGCATCGAATTAACATGGATGCGCCGTTGGGAGTTACGGATTGACTCTTCATGAAGTTCTCGTTGTGAAATAAAGCTAGAGAGAGTTAAGCTTAGGAGCCATGGCTTAGGAGCCTTGGTTGAGTTCGAGTAAGTTGAGGAGAGTCGAGAAATTGGAAGAGAAGAAGTGGTTTCACTATAGAGCGAGCAGTACATATAGGCAAAATGAAAGGTGCACCACCAAAACAGAACATTGTATAACTACAGTAATCTACACTACAGGCAGTTACAAAACAATATATAAAACTATATATTATTCTGACACGCCCCCATAAGTGCCTGTAGGGAAGAATGTGCAGTCAACGCCCCCATAATGGGGTACACCAAGAGTGCGTAGCAGTACGGGAGAGGGCAGGCAAGGAGGAGGAGAGAGAGAGAGGGAGAGAGAGGAGAGGAGGTGATAGGCTCTGGTTGGTCACCACATACATCCCCTCATCCTCCCCCTCCCCCTCCCCCTCCCCCTGCTGCAGGAGCAGCAGAGGGGGGGGACAAACAGAGGAGAATGGAGCCGTAGGGCCAGGGGACCACACTCACCCATCACCCCCACACCCGCCACCCCCAGTCCCTCCCCGGGCTCCCCACACTCTCACACCCTCCCCCCCAGCGGCAGCTGCAGCAGAGGGAACAAAAGGAGGAGGAGAAAGGGGTGGGGGGGGGAAGGGGGGGGGGGGGGGGGGGGGGCGACGCACGGCCTCCCCGGGCGCCAAAGCAAGCGGCAGAGGGGGCGACGACTCCCCCCCCCTTTCAGGTCGCGGCCCCCGAAGGAGCCGCGACGGGTGACGGGAAAAGGGGGGGGGGGCGGTGCACGTGCCCCCGGTGTGCCGCGGCTGGCGATAGGGCATGGCCGGGGCGGGGTCGGGGCCGCAAGAGGGCGGGGCCGCAGGTGGCATCGGGGCCTGGGGCGGGTACCGCACGGGCGGCGACGGGCCGGGACGGGCGGCGACAGGCCGGTACGGGCGGCGACGGGGCCGCAGCGGACGGCGGCGCGTCGTACGGGCGGTACGTGACGCCGCGAAGGGCGGCGACGGGCTGGTACGGGCGGCGAGTAGGCCGCAGGTAGGGCGGCGGGACGGCCGCAGGTAGGGCGGCGGGTGGGCCGCGACGGAGTGGCGGGGCCGCTCGAAGGAGTGGCGGGGCCGCGACGAAGTGGCGGGGCCGCGCGAAGGGGAGGCGGGGCCGCGACTAAGTGGCGGGGCCGCTCAAGGGGTGGCGGGGCCGCGACGAAGTGGCGGGGCCGCTCGAAGGGAATAAGGGGCACGCCACGGGGCGTGCCAAACACAGAGTAGCAGCGGAAGCTTTAAAGTGGGGCCCACAGGTCAGGACCTTGTCACTCTGATAGCATGTGAAATAAAGCTAGAGAGAGTTAAGCTTAGGAGCCATGGCTTAGGAGCCTTGGTTGAGTTCGAGTAAGTTGAGGAGAGTCGAGAAATTGGAAGAGAAGAAGTGGTTTCACTATAGAGCGAGCAGTACATATAGGCAAAATGAAAGGTGCACCACCAAAACAGAACATTGTATAACTACAGTAATCTACACTACAGGCAGTTACAAAACAATATATAAAACTATATATTATTCTGACACTCGTCTAAACACCACGCCAAACAACTTCCCCTACTATGGTATCCAGTTCAAGTTCAGACACTCGCTCTGTAGTTAGTCGGGAGCATCAAACTGTTTGAAGCGCACATCACATTGAAATGTCAATCGCATAATACCGTAGCAGATTTCATTGTTTCATATTCGACACCCAAGGTCCCGTTAGTGGTCAGAGGGCCATTTCCCGAGGCGAAAGGAGCAGAAGGTCCTTGATGGCCAGAGGGTTGTTCCCCAAGGAAGGGAGGCTGGGCTGGTATGATACTTATTGTGGCCTTATAATGGAGATATTTATACGATTTTGGTTGCTGAGAAGAGTCATCTTTCACTGTTGATCAAGGGAAATAGGAGTCCCACTTCTCATAATACCATATATATGCTTGGACGCATGCACCATGCGGTGAACATGGAAGCACATTGCCCAAACTCGCTCCCATCTGCGTGTAATTCACATCGTCGTTGGCTAGCAAGCACACTATTAGGCCCTGCATGGCCATAGAGTATTTTGGAGGTGCTTACACAGTCGTCTAATCAACGTTATCGAACCTGCGTAGATCAACTCCGTTGATGGTCAGATCCTCATACCATTTGATACACCAAGATCTGCGTTGCGGTACTCTACATAAAGAACTGTAGGGATGCATCGAGCTCTAGTCAACGAGTGAAGATATCGGCCATTATACTCGTAGGGCAACGGAGACAAGCGAGTGTTCGGTTGAAAGAGCGTTGCGATACAATAACTTATCGTTTTTGTGAAACGAAAATCCACATTCCAAATGATGGCATGGATGAAATTTCCTACCGGTCGATATATTTGACTAGCGTTCATATTGTACTCTTCCTAGCGCATCCCTTACGCCTCAGACTACACCCATCCCAAGCTACCCAACCTCCTTCCCTAGTTGCGATTTCTCTTCCTGATGGTTCTGCGCCAGTTGGCATCCTTCCTTCCGTGGGAGTTTTGTCCGTTGGTGTGTTCCAGCAAACACCTGCGAACATGAAAGGCATCTCATGACACTAAAACTCATTCAGCAAAAATGCAGTTGCCGCTCAATCCGTCACATAGAAATCACTCGCATGTTATCGTGCTTTGTTATCCAACCGTCAGCTCGTTCACATCCTCAACAGTGAACAACAGATGTCGGCGAATCCGGACGGTCGCAATTATTCATCGAGGGCTGACATGCACCGACATCCAGCTACATGGTCACTACGGACACGCCCGAAAACACCAAATACCACCAGTTCAACACACTCTACTCTACTGCCGCACCAACAACCAGGACATCCACCACACCCAGGGAACGAGCAATCTCCATGCACAACATTCCGAACCCTATCAACACGGA